ACAAGTCCCTTCACGAGAAACCGCAAAGAATATCACCCCCCTGATCCCCCAAACATCATGATTCATATTGTGCGCTACAGGTAGGTTTGGGAGGCAACAACAGTGGGGAAAACACTGCTCAGTGCAGATAATGATGCCAATACAAAAGTTATACTGATCATACACCGTACATCTTAATGGGAAAACAGACGGACCGTGTGATTGGATGAGAAGAACAAACTGAAATAGATATGATTAAGTCATGGATGTAACACTGTGACCTATCGGAATGGTCGAGCCAAAACAATAAACTGAAGTTTTGACTCAGTATTGATATTTTTGCTATCGAAGCACATGATTTCAAGGAAAAATACGCTGAATTTAACTGCTGGGCACTGGGTTCATCATTAAGCTGTTCGGAATAATTGAATGTACCCACGTTCTCGAATGAAATGGTGGTAGGCAACCTCGTTGTCGTCCGGTTCAGTACACCTCATTTAGCGGGATATTGTGAGGTTCGACACTCCGGGCCTTAGGGTACTGGTTTCCAAGACTGAACACCAAATCCTTTTGACTATGGGGTATACTCCGTCTGCTTTTCATCACACAAAAGGTGTGTAATAAAAAAGAAGGGTTATGAACAAGTCAAAAAAAACTAATGTTAACTGGAGGGAATGTGTTTGTATCGCATTTTCATTCCTTCCGATTATAAAAATCTGCACGTACAAACACCGAACACATTTAGATCTTTCTGTATCCCTAAACCATTCGGAATGCATCTCACCAGAAACCGCAGACATTTTACGCAGGCCGAAATTATGTATTCATTTTTCAAGCTTTTGTTGTGGTAAGTAGTCAAATCAAAATTCATTGATATCCCCCCCCCGCTGATTCTAAGCGAATTCACGAAGACCATGATTTGTGCATCCTTGTTAGGAAAAACACTCATTTTAATCATATAACCATGTGCTCAATGCGTTGACCGTCAACCGTGAGGCAAAGCCATCGAGTCTCAACCGGATGGGTAGCGGTGATTCCCGGCAAGCACACAGAAGTAGCACGTACTGCTGATAAGTGTTACCAAGGACGAAAAACAACTATTTGCTCGTCATTGTGTGCATTCATTCGCCAGAAGCTAAGTATGAATTTCCCGGAACATGAGGCATTTATGTGACTGAACCGAACTTGGGTTCAA